CTCTCTCTCTCTCTCTCTCTCTCTCTCTCTCTCTCTCTCTCTCTCTCTCTCTCTCTCTCTCTCTCTCTCTCTCTCTCTCTTTCTCTCTGTGATTTCTGTGCACCCACCAGTTTCCGTGCGCACACTTACCCCCGCGCGCACACTTACCCCAGCGCGCCCATTTCATTCGCAAATTTCTCCTCTGCCAGAAGAAGAAGAAGAAGAAATGGAAGGAGGAGGAGGAGGAGAAGAAGATAGTAAGAAGAAGAAGAAGAAGAAGAAGAAGAAGAAGAAGGTGTAGACTTACCTTTACCGATGGACGGCGGGGCGGGGCGATGGCGATCCGAGACCGGGGCGGAAGTGGGAGGGGGGCGACGGAGTCTCAACCACGTTCACTTTCGTCGAAGTGTCGAAGTGACGGGTTGTGCTGCTCGAAAGCAGCTGGAGGCGGGAGGCTGGGTGGTGGGGCCGGTTGCTGCTGCACGTTCAGATCGCCAAGAACATCGGGTGGTTTCCCGCCCGAATGTTCAAAAACTGGCGGCCTATCTGGGCCGCAGATCTCACCAGATCAACGGCCCAGATAGGCCGCCAGTTTTTCAAATTTCTGGCGGGCCTACCGGACCCGGTTTTATTTTTTGGGGGGCCGGGAGGCCTCCACGACCCGCATGGAGGCCTCCGGACCCCAAAAAAAATTAATCCCCCCCCGCGATCGAGCTGCGCAGAATTCCACTGGGGGGGGACCGGCGCGGTCCACCGGCCCGGTTCCGGTGGGGGAAGGGGGGCCCTGTGGGACCAGAAATTCAGCCTTGCTATGAAGCATACCACATCACACTTCCGGCCGAAGTAATTTGACTATTTATTCTTTTCCTTTTTCTACACCCCCCCACCCGCACCCCCACCCCCTGCCACCACCCTCCTGCCTCACCTCCTGCAATGATTGATGTCTGCTGTGGCTATGCAGTCTTATTATTTGTTTAAACAACTGGTCGCTCTGCCTGCAGAGCAGTGCAGGGAGAGGGAGGAGTGGATAGAAGGGGAGGGGGAGTTTTCTGTTCTTCACTTGATGCGACCTCTCTCTCTCTCTCTCTCTCTCTCTCTCTCTCTCTCTCTCTCTCTCTCTCTCTCTCTCTCTCTCT